CCGGCCCTCCGGCCCCCCGGCCGGGAGGGGGGCGGGGGGCTGCGAGCGGGGAAGGGCTCCTCTGGCCGTGATTTCGCTGCCCCGCTCAGGTCGCGCTGCCTCCTGCTGTCAGCCCCCTTAGCCAGGGCTTGTTTGTCAGAGCAGCTGTCCTGCCAGGTTCTCCACGCTGCCGAGGCATCTCGCCTCTTTTGGCACGTTTTCCTCTCCCGACTCCCCCGTCCCCGCGCGTTTCAGGCCAGCGCCTTCAGGAAGGAGCAGGGTGAGCTCAGGAGGGGCAGCCCGTCCCCCTCTTTGCCGGCCCCGCCACGTCTCGCGTCCTTGGGACACTCAGCTACGTGGGAGCCCCGAAACTGGGGAGCGGTGCTGTTTTTCTGTGTCCTTCACTATGAAATGTCTGTGAGGAGACGTCTTTGCCTGCCGGAGGGAAAGCTGCCGCCCTGCTATACAGTTCAGGTGTACAGCCAGACCTGCAAAAAGAGCGGGGTGCGAACCCCCTGCCGACAGGTGTTTGTGAACCTGCCTCTCCACTCTGTCATAGCAGCGTGCTGCTTATTCCTCACTTTCTTTGGTCTAAACTGCCCGAACTGGAAGATGCCGAGGCGCACAAGGCAGCAGGATGCTTTGTGAGGGGACTTTGACTACCCCTCAGGAAGCCCGCAGCTCAGGAGTGGACCATCTCTGTCCCGTTTCCCTTTTCAGATGGCCAATCTTCTGTCAGGTCAGTTACCTTCTTCATACTTACAAACTGCTTTCAAACTATTTCTTTGGGTTTAGATTGACGTTTTTCATATCTCCAGGTTACCAAACTGCTTATTTTCTGAGTAACCTGGGAAATGACTTTTAACATTGGTTTTGTCTCTACAGCATGATCATGATTTTAATGGTTTTCAAATAGACTTCAGGTCCATCTATTTGCTGAATAAGATGAGGCGCCTTACCTGCTTTTTGGTTTGCTTGCATACCTGCTATTACTTCAGCTGTCAAGATGGTTTCACAGCCAAACATGGCTCAGCAAGGAGTAAAGTTATCTGAAGACTGGTTGTTAACTACGTAAGTCATCTCAGTAAATGGTTACGACTGATCCCCATTACTCAGTTTGTTTTGCTTGTGCCTTTTTAATATAGTAGTTGCATTTTATTCAATCTATCAAGCTAAGAGCAACCCGAAGTTGCTAAGGTTCATGTGTTACTGGGTTTGGCTGCTTTTTCAAGGCAGAATCAGTAACTGTCACCTCCATACTTTTATTTCCAGTCTTGCACTATTTCCTGCTGCAACTAATTTTTCTGTTCCTAGAATTTTCTGATTATAGGAGAACCTCAGTTTTTATTTGAAAATAAATTTAGGCTTGTGAACGCATAATCACAGTAAAAAGTGCTCTGCAACACCGAAGATGCTCTCAAGATTCAGCAAACAGAATATAATTTTGAAAAGGAACATCGCTATTAAAATGTGTGCTCACTATGTATTTATATGTTATGATTTTCAACCAGCCTTTCAGAATCGTTTCCAGTGGCTGAAGTTGCTAGTGCTGCTGAGCTGTCTTTCTCTCCTGGTGGGGAAGCGAAGGGCTTTAGTCACAGCACCAGCTCCCCCATGTGGCGCTGCGCATTTAATTGTGCAGAGAAGACGAGATCCTTGCTTGGAAGAGTTTATGAGCAAGACCTCTGAACTCGGAGAGAGGACTTGAGCCCACACTGGAACGGTCTGGAAACAGCTGCTCCTCACGGGCAGACCTCTGCATCTGTGCAGACAAGTTCAGGGATTTGCTTACAGTACTGCGTCTGATTTCAGAGATGGGAAATGTGCTCAGTACAGGGACCAGCTCTTCCAAGCACTGCTATGGCTCTGCTCAGTAATCTGCTTCTTAGCACTTGCCCATTCTGTCACCGCAGAAAGAAAAGTGTGATCTTATTGCTCTGTTTCTTCACCCAGCAACCGTGTGAATTGCTCTCAAGTAGTGTAGTGAACAAGTTGGCACCTCAGTGCCTTAGCAGTCTTTTAAAATCTTGCATTTCATTGTACTAAAATGGTTCCAGTGTGTGCAGACAGGAAGGAACATACCACACCGGTGCTCTGCTTTCTGTGCTGCCTCTCACTGCATTTGAAGTACAAAAAAGTGTTTCTGTCCAGGCCTTGCTTCCAGTGAGAAGAAATTTCTTTCCATAACCATAAGCAGCTGCTAGTGAGAAAACTGAATAGCTGATAGGAAAGGGAGCCAAAGATGGAGAATTTCTGCTGAAGCTGGTGAACAGTCATGAATCTAAGAATGAGCACAGATGCAGGCTTTAGGCAGCGTGTGCCCTAAGTTACATTATCTGGAAGCAGAGAGCAGGGGAGGTCTAGGTGTGTCGACATGGCAGCTGCGCTCACTCTTGTATTGAATAATCCTGCTTCAGACCTAAATGTGGAATTTATTCCTCCTTCTCTGCTTTCCCTTAGAAGTTTTTCTCAGATGCACAAAATTAATGAACGGGTAGAGCAATTTTGCAGAGAGTGGAATACTCAGAGGTCCATACTGGAGCAGAAACAGAAGAAGGATCAAAAGACATTGTTGCTCTATTTTTACCTGCTCGAATGCCCAAAGACTTCACTCATGAGTCCTGTAAGTCCCTGAATATTAAAGCACAAGTTTGGATATGTGTATCTTATCTATTCTACTTTCATTGCCACACTTACAGACTTGTCCTAAGTCCCAGGTTTTCGGCTGTGTAACTGAATTGTGATATATCCATTGTCTCTGTTTAGAATAAAGTGATCCCGTTTTAGTGGATCTAATCATATACACAATCTGGCTGAAAATAAGTTTGCATAAGAGCAGCAAGGAAACAGCAGGTCCTTTGCATTATCCCATTCCAGCTGAAGGCCCTAACAAAACTCGTCACACAGCAGGGATGTGATTTCGTTAGGGAATTACTCTGCCTGAGCGGGAGCGTGCAGGGTGTCAGATACCTGAGGATTCTGCAGAGTTTTAGTTTCAGTACGAACCAGCGAGCTCCTGTGAAAGACAGAACTACAGGGCATGAAGAGAGGCTGAAATAAGGTGGTAGGAAAGGCTAAACAATTTGGCATGTCCCAGAGGTGTTGCTGGAGTCTGAATATGTGAAACTGCCAGAGGGGAGAAGTGAGTCAGCTAATGACTGAGCAAATGACTGAGAGCTTTGCTTCCTGACCAAGTGAGGGGGTGCTTGTTTCATTGGCTTCCTAGTAAGTGTGAGCTTTCTATCCTAAAATTTGACTGCTTTGCCTGCCAATTCAGTTTAGTGCTTTCACGTGTTTTCACTGCTTACCTTGTCTCTTGTATTTTTTCACCCCAACTTCCTGAGTTTTTGGAAACCTGAGTAGGGAAGCAGAGTGAGAGTGATGAACACACTCTAATGCATGGCCTTTTTCTTAGTCTGTGCTGTTTAATTCATGCTCGCGTTGTTCAGAAAAAGGTCTTTATTTGGGTTAGACAAAATCCCTGAAAAGCTGGAAAAAGTACATTTCCCCAAATTGTTCCTGTTTGTTATTCATCTGTCATTCAAATCGTATGGACCCCTATGGATATGCAAGTCCCACTGTGCTAAGAGGAATATAAGCAGCTTAGAAGAAATGACCCCTCTCTAAAGAACTTAAAATCTGAATTTCCCAGATGAGATGAAATGGGATAGTTTTATGGCAGCTCCAAGAATCCAAGATGCAAAGAACTTGTGCAACAGTTTGCATACAATTTCATAAGAAGGCTGTGGCACAACAGATACCCAGTTCTAAGTTCTTGGAGTACAAATGCATTGAGCTGATCACAGGACCACCCTGCCTTTCAGGGAATTAAAAAAAAAAATCATTAAAAAACAAGCAGACAAATAAACTTCAGGGTTTTGTATGTGATTGCTTTTAAAAGCTATAAAATCCCTGACCAACTGCCTTCACACAAGTTGCATGTTAAAATCACACTTCCAGAGCTTCCTAGTAAGTGCTACAAGAAGAAAAAAGAAATATAAACTTGAGAAGAGAGAGACAGGTTGCTTCTGAAAGGGTTTAGCCCCCAAGCATCACAAAGCAGAGCGTCAACCTGTCAAGTGTGGCTGTGTATGTCCAATTGCTTGCCTTCTAGTGGATCTTTAGCTTAGTATTTCCTTAAAGGGAAATGCTAAATGCATCTTCGAATGGCGAACTCTCCTTGAGCTGACTCCTCTATGCCTTCCTGCTCTGAAGCAAAAGTTTTGCAGATTTCTGTAGCACACATGAAGCTTTGAATGACAGTACCTGTGATCTGCTATGGGTGTGGGATTGGTTATAAGAAGCTCTGTTATACTAACGAAAAAAAGTTGTAACAGATCCTGAGATTTTGCATCACTGTATTGTAACCTTTTCCTCCCCTCTGCAATTGCTTTTGAACAGCCAGACGTGTCACAGAGGTGCAACGACGTACTCAGAGGCAGGCATCTAATTGTCTCCAACCTCGGTGAGAGATGAGTAGCAGCACTGCTTCTTTCAGGTGGGTCTGAGAGCTGCTGTGGAACTGAAGACCAGGAGTTGCCTACGTTAACCGGAGGACTGAGATGCTCTGATCAGCCTGCCTGCTGAGGCAGTGGTTACAGCTCGAGTAGCATACGTGAGTGCTAAGAGGCTCTAACCAAGATTTTTCCTCTTGTAGAAAACATACAACTGAATTCTGCTTCTATAACCAAAAGCATTTTCACTTTGGAAGTCACCGCTGAGCTAACTGGCGCTTAGGTACCCTCGTGGTTAAAAGCCCTGTGAGGTTTGCAGGCTGGAGGTGATCAGAGGACTCTGACTCCTGAGCTTGGGGGGGATTTAAGCTGTGATGGTTTAAAACTAACTACCTGGCTGTCTGCGCCTCTTCGTAGCATGAGGCTACTCCCCCAGCAGGCGTAATCTGTGCCAGCGTGCAAGAGCTGATCCACTCCTTGCTTACGCTGCAGGGCTGGACAGTGTCCTTGGGCTGTGGAGGAGTCAACACACGTCTACTTCTGCCACTCCTGCCACCAGGGCAGCAGTAGCCAGCACAGCAGCAGGGTGGAGGCAGTAGCGGATTTAAATCACCAGCGCTTAATCTGCCCAAGCTCAGGAGACAGCACTCAGCCTGAAGTCACACTGAATCTGATTAGTTTATTCTGCCAAGCTAGCTGGACAGTTTGGTGCCTAACGAAAGCATACCCAGGGGTCAGATTTAGGCAAGAGAAAAACCCAATAAATGTTAAAACACGGCCTGCATTGCTGGTGATTTGTGTTCCGGTGGAAATGATTCGCTGCACTGTTACGTGGTGAGAAGTGCTGTAGTTCACCATTAACTGAAATAAGCTTTTCCTCATAAGTCAGTATGCAGGTGCTGGTGAGTTAATTCCAGTGTAGCGAAACTCAGATGACAAATGAGGCTTTGCTCTGGCTATAAATTCCATCCCCGGCTCAATAATCCTGAACACAAGCTGATATGTAAGCAAGAGAGGCTGAGGGAATAGCTGCACAAGGCACAGAACAGTTGTGTGTAGACTAACAATCTGAATATGAATGATACAGCACTAGAGGGACAGAGAATTATTTATTCAGGCAGCCTCCCTGAATCCGAAGAGAAACTGCAGCCTGATGTTCTAGGGAAAAATGTGGGTTGGCAAACATTATTTGTTGCACTGTGAAAATCTGTGAAGGTTTACAGAATTATGTATAGTTATCTTAAATACATGCTTTCACAAAGGTTGTCTATAAGTGAAAAGAAAATAGTTGAGTCAAGAGGGGCTTGGAAAGCCCTCAAGAGGTCAAACTCAGCCAGCCAATTTAAAGATTTTCAAAAGAGCCTGGATTCTTGTATGCTCCCTGAACATTGCTAGTTGCAGATAAGGAATCCTTTGCCTCCCTCTGCCCTCTGTAACTCTGAATCTGCCTATGCTCCTTCTAGGGCACTGGAGTAAATCCACATTCTCTACTTCTTTCTCATAAGCTTGAAAATAAATGGATACTGGTGAGTAACTTTCTCCCCAAATTCATATGCCCTCTTGGAGTATCCTTATATTTTAGTGGACACTTAGTTTTGGATCTCAGATTTATTGTCCAAACCTGTCTGCTTGTAAGACTGAAATCATGAATTGAGCCCCTCTCAAAATGCTGAGATAAGTTTAAAAGTCATCAGTAGTATTTCTGCATGGATTGATTAGTTTTTATTTTTACTTTTGTTTTTTTTTTCTTTGACTTGTAATTTTTCAACCTTTAGCTGCACCTTGATCATCCCTCTGATGACTTTTTGGTGTAGCCACAAGGTTTAGAAATGAGTTCTTTTAGAGAGACTGTAACTATTTCGCATCAAATCTTGCTATTCTAAAATAAAAAGGTCACTTCTACAAAGGAAACTTCAGTAGGCTTATTTATTCTATTCTGTCTTTCTCACCTTTAACCATCCTAAGCTAGTGTTCAGCTCATTTCTTTACTGGGCTGTAGTTATCACCAGCTTAAAATACTCATCTGTTGTGCTCATAATGCACATGCAAAAGTAACACCCTAAAGATGGCAAATTCAAACAGTAGTTTATTGTGATGGAGTACTTCCTTTATGTTAGTTTTTTATTTCAGGGGCACCATTACATAAACATGTTTTTCCTGACTGTTGTATCTTTCATTTAAAGACTTTGGGACTCTTCACAACATTATTTTATTAAATTTTCCAACCATCTTGAGAGATGTGAGCAGGCTGAGGTACAGTGACGTAGTCTCGGTACTTCTGTTGTTCCACGTTTTAGCATTTTACATTTGAGAAGCACAGAAGTAGATTCTTAGTGATTTTCTGCAAGTGTTGCTCAAATTGAAGATTCTAACTAGGTGTAAAAAAATCACTGACTTTTTTTGAGAAAAGCTGGCATAGGTGAATTGTTGATCAAGGTTCCTGTAAAAAATATCTTTGGTTTTCGGTTTCCCACTATGCCAGTGGATCGCTAGCTTTCTGTCCCACAGGGGCTGAGCTCAACATCTAAAAAGATGCTGAAAAGGTGAAAAAGGGAGCTGCTTCACTGGATCCTCTTTTCCCACCATCTGTTTTCTCATCATCATTGCTTGCTGATTATGTCCAAGATGCATGCTCTCCAAGATGCATGGTATTATGTTTTCTACCTAGGGAAGAAACCGAATTAATGTTGTTCTTGGTAGCCAATTTTCTGGGTCGGCTTTTTGTAAAATTGAAGAAATGTTCCTCTTTGTGGAGAAGACAGTTTCTCTTTCAGCTGTAGCGCTTCGGTTAATGGGTTTCCCTTTGTGAAACTTCATAACCTTCTGTTGTCATTGCTGCTTTATAGGCTAGCAATAAAGGAGCACGTTGAATAACACTGTTCAGGGTTTCTTGATAACAGGGCCCTTCTGTGGGACAGGGCCTAGTTAATGAGTGTTGCTGCTGAATCACTGGTGTTTTAAGGAGAGTGTGCATGTTTGTTTATTCTTTGCAAGGGACTGCTGGTACTTCCCATGCATGCCAGCAACAGTTAATGCAAAAGCATGAGCTCCAAATTTGAACCTGATTAGAATTTACTGAGCATCTATGTGAATAAATCTGATTTTTATGGATGTATATATGCCTGGAATTCTGGAAACATGATTTCCATCTTCTGTTAATGTGTCTACCGTTTGACTTGGTAGCACATTTGTATTCTGTTTTGTTGGTTTTGGTAATGTTACTACTATGAGTAAAGATCTCAGTACTTGTGCCTTGATGAGGGGAAGTAGCATTCTGTGTTCTGTAAAAATGGATTTAAAAGTTATGCTTTGTCCATATATGATTGTACTCTTGTTTGAAGAGGTTTTCCTTGCCTACAAGGTTTTGAAGTAATTTTCTAGTACGGCTGCATTATTTTCAGATGGACCTCAGTGGCTTTATGTCCAGCCTGTTCCTGGCCTCCCTGCTGAGACTGCCAGGAATGTGTCAGATGGTGCCAAAAGTAACTACTGGGTTTTGGTTTGTGCACGTTGGAATCTGGTTTCTATTTTAACCTTCAGAAAGGGTGTTATAACTGACAGAGAGCAGAGGATGTTAAAAATATCTTTAGCATGTCCCTGTGAAGCTGGCAGCTTTGTTGTCATTCACTGGAATGCTAGACAGAAGGGCAGTTTCTAGTTCTCTTCTGGGGCCAAAAGCATGCCTCCCCATGAGAGCGATGCACAGTCTCCAAGAGTGGCTGGGATTTTTGGATACCTCCGCTTTCAGGTACACGTTAAAGAGGTCTGATCCTACTGGGAAATTGCTCTGCATTTATTGAAAATTTGGACCCTCTAAGGTGCCCACATTAGGTATTCAGGTAGCTAGAAGCTCTCAGGTTTTTAAGTCCCTTTCAAATGTTTTCAGCAGAAACTTCCAAAGTTTAGGTCTGAAGTACAAAACAGTAGAAAAAAATTCTCAGCATGAAGGAAAGATTGAGTTCCTCCTGCTGCAAATTCTACTCTATCACTTTGTCTTAGAAATCCGTATTTAGGGAATTTTTTAAAGATACTAAAAAAACCACCCAAATTAATGGATAGAAGAGAGAGGGATGTTACTTAATGATTGAGAAGCAGGACTCCTGGATTACTATTCCCATTGTGAATTGCTATGTGATCTTAAACAAGTCTTCTAACTGTGGCCAACCTCTGAGCAATACCATGCATTTAGCTGCATGATGAACGTGTTGTGGAGCTCAGTTAGCATGCGTGTGGCACGAATAAAATTCTGTAGAAATGTCAGCAGTTTACTGGATATGAACACACTGACAAGTGGTTTGGGCTGATACTGGATTTCTGAGAATCACAGCCCAAATACGTACATTAGCAGATATTCAAAACTGTCTACTTCAGGAATCTGAATGGAGATGATAAATCCAGAGCTTAGTCTTCTTGGGTTCTGCATAAAGTGAATGCAGAGAGAGGTGCTCCTGCAGAGGGGCCAAGTGCTCTGAATGATCTGCTGCCTGAGTCCTTCCCTCTACACTGGCCAAACTGAGCTACGCTGACCACCTGAAGTAGGTCCTATGAATGATCTCCAAAGAGCTTAGCCTCTTAGGAGGAGGCTTGAATTGTGCTCTAAAGTCACTTTCAGCAGAATTTCCTTTGCTTAACAACATTTATGTTTTGCTCAGTTCCTTAGTGTTATCGGATGAAATTGCCACAATAGAGTGTACCAATGCAATCCAGCCTATCCATTTTGTGTCTTTAACCTGAGTTTTGTTTAAAACTCAGTTACAAAGAGTGTGCTTGTATAGTTTAGACAGGATAGCCTTGCACAACTAATTAGCTATCAGAGGTGGGTTTATAATGAAACACTGAGGAATAGCATGCGTGAGATATAGGTGGGATGGGGAACACTTAACAGAGCTCATGCCGAAAGTGCAAAACATCACCCTGTTACACAATTCATAGGCTTTAGTTTGTGTGACTAATACATAGGCAGCAGATAAGCCATTCTTACTGACCTTCACAGTGCTGTGGTTGCAGTGGCCAATCTTTACAAAGGGATGAATTGTTCTTAAACCCCAAATGAAATATACTGCACATGAAGGGACTGTTGACTAGGTGAAACACGTGCCACCATCTTCTGCCTTTTGTCTTCTTGAGTAGACATAACTGCTTGGGAAAGCAGAAAGCTTTCATCATCTATTTGCTCTCAGGTTCCCTATCCTCTTTCAAACAGTATTCTGAAAAGTGCTACAACGCTAGTTTCACACCGCTGTGGACAAGAGCTGAAGGCAGGAGTAGACCTGCAATTGTTATTGTTGGTGGCTGTAGCCATACAGCAGTCACCAGCAAGAGAGAGTGGTTTTCCCCAGATACCCCTGTGATCATAAAGTGAGACTCTCACAGGAATCCTGCGTAGTAAATGCCAATGAAGAGGATTTATTTCATGTTTTAAATGAAGGCTGAAGTAAAGCTGTGATAGATGGCAATCGTTGAGTATTGAATAACTCCTGTTGGTTACTTCAGGAAGCCCATACTAAAGGATCAAATGACTCACAGAGTTGGTATCAGAGCTGTTCAGTACTAGGTTCCTGTTACGGATCTTGCTCATTGCCAATAACTCATATAAATTAGCATGTGATTAAGACTCTGACACCTGCCCCCCCCCCCCACCTGCCTCTGCACCAGCATGATAGATGATTTGTGCTGCTACCTAACAGTCTTATAGACTCTAGGGTTCACTAGCCAGAGGTGCTCATCTCTAAAACTACCTCTCCTTGCTTTGGCTTTGGCTTTTGCTACAAACCAAACAGACTCCAAAAAGTCTGTGATCAGACTCTAGTAGGGTACACTGAACTTTTAGAAAGAAAAAACAAGAGTTGTTTCTCCTTCTCGTGTTCCAAAATATACTTAAGCATTTCACCAGGCACTTTTCTAGGTCATAGCATTCTCTCCTGCAAATAGTTTTTATCTTTTCCTTTCGTTCCTCATATGCTTGCTTACTTACATTTATTTTGTGTGTATGGGTAAGGAGTACCCGTGCTACACTAAATTATGCTGAATATTATGTTGTAGATATACACGTAGATGTGTATTTATATATATTGCTAAGAGCTTTTTGGAAAATCTAGTTTGCTCTATAACAGTTAAAGCATTCATTTGCATGATCTTTCTGATTGTGGACAATCAAAATAAATTAATCAGGCTCACTCTTGCTAATTGTCAGTGTTATGGCCCTTATGTAGCATTAGCTTCCTATAACAAAAGCTCCATGTACTGTGAAAGCTGAAGAGAAATGTTTTATTAACATAAGAACTCTTCTTGCCTTTGAAATTTCATTGTCCTCAGAGAACTGAGTTAAAAGCAAATTATCTTCTTCTTGAATTTTCTTTAGTATAAGATGAGATGATGTATCTCATCAGACAGTGGTTTGTGTGTGCATATACTTACAAGTATTTATAATTATATATAAGTATATACTAATACACCCACATATATATTATTTCTTCTTCTTTGCCATTGAAGGTTTGTAGCCAGATATTCACAGCAGGTCAAATAAGTTGCTACAGATGTAAATGATACTAAATGATTAAGCAGCCCAGCTGTCTGTGGTCAAAGGCAACATCTCACCAAATGCTTCTCCAAAACGAAAATTCTTCCAAGGAATGATTTATAATTTAGACCTGCAAAAAGGCTTCCTGGACAGTATTTGTTTCCCATGTGTAATGTGGTTTGAAATCTACTTTCTGATCCAACTCACTGCAGTTCTCTCTGAAATGGGCTTGGTGATGGATGATGGCAAACCGCCTAAAGATGACTAGATATTTTGCCTCCCTAACATATGTCTCCAGAGTGGTGAGTTAGTGTCTAGCATCATATTAATGTCACAAAGTAAAGGAAGTGAAGTGAGAGAGCTGTTAATGAAAAATCACTTCAGCTGGATTCATAGAAGAAGAGCTAGGGATCCAACTGCCCAGTCTGGGTCGTCTTCTTCCATGAAGCCCTGGATCTCTTCTCAGGGATATCTTGATAAAGCAGGACAACTTTTAAGAATTTTTCCTCAACAGGCACAGAATTAACCCTTTTGAAAGCTTTGATGAAAACAGGCATGTAGCATCTGTTGAGGAAATCAAAATGGCAGAGTGAGTCAAGGTGAGGTATGTTGTCAATATGGTGGTGGGACACTTGGTCTAGGATATTGAAGGCACTAGAGCAAGCCTCTGCCTCTTCTGAAGGAAAGCAGAGAGTTTTCATCCTTTATTACTTTCGGTGACCTTGTCTCCAGTGCAATAATTAAGTACCACTCATCAGGATATAGATATGTGAAATGTCCTCTCCTCTCCCATGTCAACACAGCCTCCATTGCAGTACAGTTTGGTAACTTCTGGTGTCAATATTTTTTCTGACTCCAACCATTAGACCCAGTGGAACTGGGCATCTTGCCACTTTTGTGTGGTTTTCTTTTCTTCTTTCTCTTGACTGTAAGTTCAGGTAACTTACATGGGCCCTCTCTGTGTGAGCTGCCTAGCATTCTGGCACTATACAGTGATTACAGTAAAAAAGTAATTTTTTTTACAAGTGGAGAATCACTCTAAGATTGGCCTTCTGTTAGGGCTCAGCTCTGGAACCCTGCGTTAAATTCCTAGCTATGGTACAGCCTTCCTGTGTACCTTTGGAGCCTCTTCTGCTCTTCTGGTGGGATTTCCAACCTGTCTAAGGGAGGGAGGCACCAAATTCCTCATCTGTACGTTGTTCAGTTATTAGCAAAATGTTATCTTTTTCTCATTTGGAATATGCTTGATATGCTCTCTAATACAAATCATGATAACTGACATACATTTTGCTTTGTCCTGGAATGAGGTTCATCAGTCTCATAGGAAAAATATTTTTATATGCTTTCCTATTAACATATTTGTTACTAGGCTTGAATTTTAGCTTGAGTGAGAGCTACAAATAAACTTACAGGGATATTCATTAGAATACTGAGCTGCGGTTATGCTGAATCAACATTTTAGAAAATTTTAAGTATTTTAGTAAATAACCCCAATTAAAATGATTAATGGAAGAGATCTGACAACGCTTATTATTTTAGCTATCTTATGATACTTGCACATAATTTAAAACTTCATTTCCTGCCATCCCATGAACATGTATCAGATTTCATTTAAAAATGGTAGCATATTCCTGCTCCTCACAGGAACAGAGAAGAGCTGAAAAATATAATCCCCCCAAACTCTAGAATTCCAAAAAGCAAAGATATAGATACTATCACTTACTATTTTTGAATCCATGTTTTTTAAACCAAAGCTTAAACTTTGGTTCAAATTCCTAATTGCGAATGCATTATGTGCTTGCACTTGGGGATATATCAATGAGGCCAATCTCTTCTCCGTGGTGCCCAGCAACAGGACAAGAGGCAATGGGCAGAAACTGAACCACAGGAAATTCCATCTAAACCTGAGAAAAAACTTCTTTCCTGTGAGGATGACTGAGCACTGGAACAGGTTGCCCAGAGAGGTGGTGGAGTCTCCTTCCCTGGAGATCTTCAAAACCCGCCTGGATGCAATCCTGGGCAATGTGCTCTAGAGGACGCTGCTTGAGCAGGGCGGTTGCACTAGATGATCTCCAGAGGTCCCTTCCAACCTCAACCATTCTGTGATTCTGTGATATCCTGTGAATATTCTTTGTAGAATACTGATTTTGAGAAGGATGTTTCTCCAGTAAAAAACAGAATTGCACATTGTGGCTTGTGCATGTGTTTTTACCTTACAAACTAGGGTAGTTTTTGTCAAATGGTTTTGAATAATGAATAGATTCAAGGAAACTGAAACCCTTTCAGACACCTTGTGAAGATACAAGAGCAAAATTTGTAAAGTTAAAGGTTAACAATGCATCACTTTTTGTGTTTCAACGCAGTGTTCCTTTTTACATTCCTGGTAGCCAGAGGGTCTTTCACCCTGATGTGAGAACTGTGTGAATCAAAAATATCGGCAATGTTCCTCGCTGGCTTACACTCAGGTCAGTGCAGTTTGGCAGGTTAGTGTCTCTCTCCCTGCTCTCTTGCCAGAGTGTTTTTTGGAGGCAGCCGCTGGTAGCCCTCACACAGCAAGCCCTGAGCGTCAGTCCAGCCCCATATTCCATTTCCGGTAGTGGCCAGTATAAATAGCCATATGTCAGTAGTATAAACTCACCGTTCTTAAACTGTGCATCCACTGTTGGCCAAGCTTGGAAACACATTACGGGGCTAAATGGACCATTGGTCTGACCCAGTATAGACTTTTTTTTGTCCTAAAATTACAGATGTCTAGGAAGAGTACAAGAACATGGAATGATAATTCTCTGTCCTCTGCCATTCAAAGTGTAATAATTATCAGAGCCAGGGTTAGTATTTAATACTTTATATCCACTGTCTTCCATGACAGTGCTTCCATTTGCCCAGTTGCTTTTTTGAATTGTTGTTGGTGTAAACAACACCAGTTTGGTTATTTGGTCATTTGGATGACCAAAAGCAACAAGAAGTAGTCTGGCTTTTCACAGCATACCCTGCTATTCTTTAGCTCTCACATAAGACTGTTGGTTTAGGTACCAAGCATGGTCTCTGTTTTCTAAATTAAGAGTGCCCAAGTTAAAAGATTGTTTTGTCCACTCTTTAGTTGGCCTTTCAGAGTTATTTTAAAAGAGGGTTTGCCCATAACATTAGGAGCTCTGACTCAGACACACAAGGAGCACATCTGCAGAGGGACAAGGTAGTTTTTCATACAGTCAGTTTTCTTACTATAAGCAGGTCAGTGCAGTTTGGCAGGTTAGTGTCTCTCTCCCTGCTCTCTTGCCAGAGTGTTTTTTGGAGGCAGCCGCTGGTAGCCCTCACACAGCAAGCCCTGAGCGTCAGTCCAGCCCCATATTCCATTTCCGGTAGTGGCCAGTATAAATAGCCATATGTCAGTAGTATAAACTCACCGTTCTTAAACTGTGCATCCACTGTTGGCCAAGCTTGGAAACACATTACGGGGCTAAATGGACCATTGGTCTGACCCAGTATAGACTTTTTTTTGTCCTAAAATTACAGATGTCTAGGAAGAGTACAAGAACATGGAATGATAATTCTCTGTCCTCTGCCATTCAAAGTGTAATAATTATCAGAGCCAGGGTTAGTATTTAATACTTTATATCCACTGTCTTCCATGACAGTGCTTCCATTTGCCCAGTTGCTTTTTTGAATTGTTGTTGGTGTAAACAACACCAGTTTGGTTATTTGGTCATTTGGATGACCAAAAGCAACAAGAAGTAGTCTGGCTTTTCACAGCATACCCTGCTATTCTTTAGCTCTCACATAAGACTGTTGGTTTAGGTACCAAGCATGGTCTCTGTTTTCTAAATTAAGAGTGCCCAAGTTAAAAGATTGTTTTGTCCACTCTTTAGTTGGCCTTTCAGAGTTATTTTAAAAGAGGGTTTGCCCATAACATTAGGAGCTCTGACTCAGACACACAAGGAGCACATCTGCAGAGGGACAAGGTAGTTTTTCATACAGTCAGTTTTCTTACTATAAGCACATTGTCACACACTGGAATGAAAACTCCAAAAACTTCAGTAAGCCTCTGGCTCTCTGCAGAAAGTCTTGCCCTATGAAACCTGTAGGGGACAGTTTATGCGTTTGCCTCATAGGCAGATCATTCAGAGTCTGGGAGTTTATTCACTGTGGTCACTGCACCTCCAGAAAGACAGGAAGAAAATGCTGATATGCTCCAGACTGATTTGGGCTCCAAACATGCTATAGTATTTTTTTCTCCCAGCTGACGTTAGAAAGTAAGGCTGTTAAAAGTCTGCCTAGCAGAGGATTCTATGAAGGCCTTTGAGACATAGAGCACCAAACAATTCTTGCACAATACAGCATGTCAGATGCAAGGTGGAACAGCCAGGACAGATGTGATGTGGACTTCTGAAGCCTAAGTTTCAAGCATGAATTATTTACTATGATTGCCCAAGCAGGGCAGTTGTCCTTTCCAGAGTGGACTGGAATGTCCAACAGCACTAGTAATTTCAGTGCGAGTTTGCATTAATTCTCAGTACTTCTTGCAAGATAATGAAAACCTTTGATTTCCCCTCGCTTCATTTGTGTATTAAGAGAAGTCAGCAATCTGCAAGACTTGGTCCTTGCATTAAGGGATAATATGCTTAGCACAGAGCAGCTGGACTGCTAATTAAATGAAAATTCCTTACAGCTCCAAAAATAATATAACTGAATATCCATCCACCTGTTAGAGGATTATATATTTTGGTACTGGATTTAATAGGAGGTTTATTATTTGTACTTTCTTCTCGTTTGTATTAGCTGAGTGCTAGAGAGCCCTCTTCTGCTGGGTGCTGTACACACACTGTGCAAAAGGAGGATGTTGCCGTGAAGAGTTTCTAGCCTGAGCAGTGGACAAGAGACTTGTGTTTTTAAGGGGGCAGAAGAAACAACAAGACTTATACTAGGGAGCATAGCGGAACAGCAATTTTGGAGTGCTGCCAGCTGAAGATCAGCCCCTGTAGACATCACACCTCACACCTGAAGAGAGACCAGAAAGAGGTTCCCGATGCTCACATTAATTAAAAGGCCTAACATTCACATCATTCATTCACATTATTGTTAGTAGCATTCCTACTGCACGAAATGTGTCCTGTCTTTCTCCGCTGTATTGTGAAAAACAGTGACCTAAAAGGAGCTTCCAGATGCAGAGTTTAGGTTGAAAGTTTTTTGATGGAACAGGTTCTTTTTGGAAGATTCCAGGTTTTAGAGACTGAACTTTTTGCACTCAGTGAACATTTGCTGAATTCTCCACAGCAAAGACCTGCATTAAACTAGTCTCCCCGCACAGGTCAACCCACGGCAGTCCCCTGATGGATTGGCCATGGAGCCAGGGAGTCTGGGAACTCCCTGCTTTCAGTAACATTGATACCTGATTTTGCTGTTGGTATTAGTTCTGAGCAGCTCTGCTGAGCAGACACAGAGTCTAATAGGCTTCCTGCTAAGTGGAAGATTGTGAAGAAAACAAATTTTCATCTGATTGAAACTGAAACCAAACTTTGAAAAAAAATGAAGTTTCCTGCTAGCAGAAAACCCTCCTTCCTGGCTGTCCTCAGTTCTAACTTGGACCTTCTCATCAAAACTTGGGATGTCTGTGCTTCTTGACTTCTGGAATTTCAGTACACAACAGGAGATGTATAAATACAGGTCAGTATAATGATGGATGTTAATGGGAACTGCAGAAAGGGATTATCATCTGCGTTCGAATTACTAAGGTGTCTCCTAACACTGATTCTTGCTAAATCACTGTGAAATCCATGCTCGATTCTAACATATGATGTTACATAGTTCCAGAAACAAATAATCTGACTACTGTGATTGGAAGGGAATTTACTCTACCAAAGCCTAGACGGGTCAGTAAAATATATGTGGCAGTTTCATAGATGTATCTGTGTGTAGGCCAGAGGCAACGGCTAGATCTTCCAGTCTGGCATCATGTATTATAGGCCATAGATTTTTGCCCGGCATCTCCTGTGTTAAGACTCTTTTTATATGACAATAGATTCTATCATATTTTTAAGTAGCTGTTTTAGCCTTAGGTCTGTCTTCTCCCTTACCAAACCGTTCAGGTCTTGTTTGCATGTTTCAAATGTCATCACCATAGAGAATGCAGTATAATGTTGTTTCAAGGAAATAATTCACTCATTCTTCCCGCTGCCTCTAATAAGGGTATTAACGAATTTTCTCTTCCACCTCTGAACTTCAGACTGGCTATCAGCTGTTGTACCATGCTTAGTTTGGTTCAAAAAAGTAATTGAGTCAGATTTTTGTAAGTGTAACTTACATCTCTATTCTGTTGTGCCTGTTAAATAAGTGATGAAAATGGTATCTTTAGCATACTTTTCCACTGACATTTAGCATAAGCAAATTTCAGAATAGCTAGACTGGTATCAGTAATAGTTGTTACGCACCTTTGAACTGCTTAGATGATGCTAATTTCCACTCATTTGGAATTTTGTCCCCTAAGTCCCAGGATGACCACATGGGAAAATCGAGAGGACTGCTGTCCCCCCAGTGCCCTCCCTGCACCACACAGAAGACCCCAGGAAGGGGCATATCCAGTGACACTTCTTTAGCCCACTTTCTACCATGGCTGGCATCAACAGCTCCCTGTGCCAGCACTCCTGATCCCAGCTCAAGAAACTCATCTCCTGTACCCAAGGCCTCTCATTGCCTGTGGGCAAGGTGGTCACAGTGACAGGGGATCCCAGAGGTATGCAGGTGCTGGTGCTGGCTGAGATTCAGCACTGTTGGAGGGGAAGCAGGCTGCAGAGTAGTGAGCTCTTATGGCACAAAGCAACAAAAGAGGAACAAGTTAGCAGCTCTTTAATCATCAGCACTAGGTGCTGGGCAGCTACTCAGAAGTAACTGTTCAGGTAGAAGAACTTAATTCATGTCTCATGTTGAACCATTGGTAGCTCCCTGAATGTGGAGGTCTTGGGAGTGATTCACATGCTTTTTGCCTTAGAGATATTTGTGATTTTCATAAATTCATAAATAAATTTGTAAACATATGCCAATAAATGAAAGCAGATACATGAAACATTACTTTGGGACACTGACATTTTTTTGAGTTAATCACAACCTGATTTAAAAAATTCAGGGGGTTAATGTGGATTTTATGCAACATAAGTTGTCAATATAGAACTAATAAAAAACTTACTTTCACTTTTGCTTTTTCCTGTTAGTTCCCTTTCAGAAGCAGAAGCGTTGTATGATCAATAGATTTGTCAAAGTATTCTTTTACCTCTTACTTGTTCAAAGATACCAAATTTCTACCCTTAACTTCTCATTTTGGCTACTTTACTCTTGTAATTCTGTTGTATTTTATTTATAAAGCCTTTCACTGCTGTATGTGCCAGTTATTTGGAAGCTAACAACAGAGATAGCATAGTGAAAAGGGCCCTTTATCCAGAGGCCTCTAAGAGAACAGAAGGATGAGTGTTGGTCTTAGTCTACCAGAAGCAAAGAAATCCTTGGTAACTGTCCTCCTGCCACTGCTTTGCCTCTGCTGGATGCCAAAAAAATAGTTCTTACCCAAGTACATACTGTTAGCCAGTAACTTTATATTCTTGCCTTCTCCCCACTCTTTCTTTATGTGCCTGTTGGGATCCTCATTGCTCCTCTGAAAATTTGAAAAGCCACCTAGTGAGCATAGTACATGAGGTGTCGGTGATTTGCCTTCCCCTGATATGTATGTGATTTTTTTTCCCTATGCTACCCATTGTGGTTTGAACTCTCTTGTTGTCCCAAGTTGGTGAGCTCCTAGACTTTAGTGACTTTCTGTTTTAGTCTGACCAAAATAGAAAGGAAGAGATGAGAGCTCTCTCTAGGTGCGAATTATCTTAGATTTAGAGATTATCAGAGTTAGGATGATCAGCACAGTATTTCAAACCTTTCCAAGGAAAAGAAAAAAAAAACACATCACAATCTTAAAACATTTTTTGGTTACAATTATTTTTTTTTCCTGTCAGTATTTTCAGCTTCATCATCATATGAGTGAAAGTTCAGGACTCTTGCCCCTCTGAGGCTTGCTGGAAATCCCAAGGAATGGCACATGACTACATTTGCATTCAGCTCCTATGTATTTGGGAACTGGAACTGAGCCTAAAGAGTTTTGATGAAACACGGTACCAGCAACTAAAATTAGTAATTGCCTAAAACTGGGTAAACAGTATAGGTATTGTTTTTGTGTTACATTCTAATTTTTGGATCTTCATTTGTATGTGCTATTTAGGATACATTATAATTCCCACTTCCCCTATCTCCACCTTCCACAGTCTTCAAATGTCTTTCTTTTTCCCTCTGTGTGTAGCTTGCTTATCATGTTTTCCCTGCACCAGCAACCCCTTTACTCCATGAAAACCTACTATTTTTTATCTCAGGTTGTCTAAGTAATACATATTTAATTATAGCCTTAGCAATTGTTCTCACTTTGTATCCAATTTTGAAATATGGTGCTTGTCTGTCTTTCTAAATACTCCAGTTAGCCTAATAACATCTATTATTCCTAGTTATAAATCTTGTCTTGCACACAAAACAAAACATTTTGCACATTTTGCCTCTTTAGCAAGAGATACTGGCATGTGAAGAGTGCTTCAAAAAGACTCAACAGATGTAGGTTGTTGTAATCTCTACAAAAACTTAATGTTTATGAGAAGAACCTGAATCAGAGAAAGATAGAAATAAGGCACAACAAATTAAAGAAGATATAGAACCTTTTTATTACTTGAATACTTCTAACTACAAAGAATGTAATTTCAAGAAATATCTGAAATATAGCCACTGAAGCATAATTCAGAGTTCTTTCTCTTTGAGAGCTTAAAAATAAAGATCAATATACCTACCTCAAAAATAATTTGGGAAAAGTGCTTGTATCACAGTTTATTGCAATAAAATGGTGAGAAATTGTGGAAATAATATAGCAAAGTAGGACTATTTGGCTAAAAATTGTCAACTATTAAGACCTTGCCGTTTTTTCCAGATTGGTCATTGTTACTTCTGGCTGTTTTGGCAATCTCAGATGGATTTGATCGAAACTCTGAACAAATTTATAAAAAAGGTTGCTAATTGGAAGGAAGACTGAAAACAGGGTTAGGCCTAATGTTTAAAAGATGCGATTATTTATGTTGTGTTGGTTTTGGCATAGTGCTGAAAATTCTGTGTTTGAAGGGTAAATGTTTTTTTAGAAATGAATAATGGGAGAGAAAGGGCTGTTTTGTTTGTATCATATAGCTTGTGTAATATTTCCCAGAATTAAAAGAGTGGAGCATTCGTGGGAAAATTACAGATGGGAACTCAGCCTTGCAAAGATCAATTGGGACTGCGAGGCTCATCTGTACAGATTCTTGCAATGAGGGCTACCCAGCGCAGGAAGCAATACTCTCTGTTGGAAGGGTTGGTGGGATATGGCTCGTACTTTAAACATGTCTTTAGTTTGCACAGTACTTTAAAAAGGTGATGGGTTTGTTTGGTGTGTGGGCAGGAGACCATGCCCTCACTACAGGCGTTTGCTGTCAGGAAAGATATAAAAGACCCTGTGGGTAGAAGCAGCTGTGAGGTGGTAAATGGTATCTGTGGTTTTCTGTCTTTCTTTTAAAATGTTCTGTTTTTGCCTTTTAATAAAGAAGAGCAGCCTAAAGCCTATGTAACTTTTTTCAAAATATGCTGGTAAATTAAATAATAAAAAACAGGACAGCTTATCAACTTTATTATACTATGCAAAAGACATAATGAACAGAACAAGAAATAACAAACACCAAGCAGTGGAACAATTTATACTTGCTGTATGGGATGCTCTAGTACCACATTCAGTTAAGTTCATGTCATTTCCAACCTTTCTATTTATTTTGCTTGCAGGAAATGAGAATATCCTGATGGGAGGTATCTGCATCTGTGGACAGCCAGCAGCTGTGTAGCCCTTGGCTTTTAGTATACACATACAGAATACTGAGCATACCCTGTTCTTGTACTGTAGTTCCGTAGAGACGACCAGAAAATGATACGAACATTTCAGGTTAGCTGCAAAAGGTATAAAATCTAAGATTTCTATTTTATGCTTGGGTCATAGGCCAACCAGCTGCTATTGAAGTTTACCTTATCAGGCTGTTTAAAGTAAATTTAAGGACGGAGGTCTCAGCTCTCACTTATTTCAGTTGTGTTGTTGGATTACCGAGTAAAAAGATCCATACAGTTCTTACGAATACCATATCCTGCTCTGATGCATTTTGTCTGGTGGGGTCAAGAGGAACTAATCTCCTTTTGAGACTCCTTTGATGGCTGCTCAGCCCACCTGTGGACTGGTCTGCAGGCAGTGTAGAATGCTGAGGAAAAAGGCATTTTTTAAAAGTAGTTTTGACCATTTGCCTGCAGGTTGCTTATCCAGGAATAACACTCAAACCAGAGACTACATGGAAGTTCACTATCTCATGAAGTAACTCAGGTAGAAATGATGGAACACATTTCCTTAGAGATCAGAAATCTCCCACTTTGTCAAAGAAGGTACATGAAATAACCTTGTACGGCCAGAGTCCAATGTACCAGGAACATGAGCTTCAAGAAGCTAGCACAGTATGGGGTAGACTGACAAGCCAGGTGATGATTATGAAACTAATAACAGTAATATGGTCAGAAACTCTAAAATGCTCTGTGTGGATTTATGCATTTGTATGCCACTGTATGCTATTGTTGCTCTTAACAGGTTTTCTGTCGGTTTAAATTGGTATTAGATGTAGTTAAGGTTCCCCCAGTGTTTAACAGAAAACAAGTTTGGGCCTCTTTCTTATTATGTTAAAAACCAACATTTAGTATCTTTAATCCTCAAAGCAAACTTTAGGACATCTCTACATGTAACAGACATGTAACATATCACTAGCAGCAAACATTCTGGGGCAGTAGCCAAATAGGACAGAAACTCAGAATAACTGATCAGCAAATGGCTATTTTGCAACCCAGGCATTCAAGCAAAACAATTTTATTTCTAGTGAGTACCCCTGACTCTCAGTGCTCTTGGCAGTCTTTTGTAGGTAAATGGTTGCTAGTCAAAATCTGCTCCAGTTCGACTGAGGTTGTCCAGTCAGATGGCAGGCTGCACCCAAGAGAAAGAAGAGGTGTCTCTTCTCTCCCCCGGTGTTATTTTCCAACTGAGGTGGTCCTTACAGCCTCCATACAGGCAAACTGCCTCCAAAGAAGTGGACTACCCTGGGCTGTCCCTTTGTCCATGAGCAGTATGGTCTCTCAGGCAACAGTCATATGTCAGACTTCAAGCATGCAAGATTTAAAGATTACGTTAGAAGGGTCACTGCAAATTTCTTCATTGTGGCACAAGATTTGTACGTTGGAGGGGAAGCCCTTGGTGAAGTATAAACTTATGGGGCTAGTTCTGTAATATTTTGGTATTTTAATACCTGCTAAGAAAAAAGAAAAGTTTAGCTTTGTAAAATGGCTGCCATTTAAAAAGTCAACTTTCTGAAATTACAATATCACACATAACAAGCTAAAATGTTACCAAATTCAGTAAGTAATCCAGAGGTATCTATGTAAAGACTTCTGGTTCGTGGTCTTCTTTAAACATCAAACAACTGTGAGTATTGAAGGCCTGTTTCTCTCTGTATGTATGATTTGATTGTCCTCGCACAACTGTACAAGCCTGCGAACTCCATCACTTTTCCACTAGTGGAAGAGAACACATTCAGGCTGTCCTAAATAACCCCCTCAGTAGAAGAGATTCTGAAAGAAGGAATGATCAATACGTTTTTGATATATTAAATGCACAAGTGAAGACTAGGTGTGAGACAGTCTTTTTTTTTAAAAAAAAAGATCAAAAAACCCAACAAACAACCCCTCCCCCAAAAACTGATTTGAAGTTTTATAATTTAAGAGTAGTGAGAACCATTTTTCACTCCTGTTGCTTTTGTTTATATGTTGCTTCTACTGCCATCTCTTGTTCTTTAAGGGTTGTTAATGTGTATTTATGCTTCTTTTTCCTCTGGATGTTTCCTTTACAGCTGCTGGTGTTTTTGCAGAGAAAGTATGCTTCACCAACCTCTGTATTTTTACTAGAAAGTGAAGTTCTACTCTGGGAAAATTCATCTAGGTCATCTTAAATGCACAAACTTTTGTTCAGGACTCTTCCCAAAAGAGGATCTGGCAGCATGTATGGTATTCCTTAGATTTTCACGTTCCATTTTTGATGGTCTCTGCAGCACCTCTCGGTTGAATGCACTTCTTTCTTCCTCTGCTTTAAGATTTTTCCCATTGTTTTAGTTACTTTTCTTCTCTTTGCCAAAACTGGTTCAAGTGGCAGAGTCTGCTGTTAAACAAAAAGGATCCAATATACATGCATTGATTTGACTTTAATTGGAAGTTAAATCAGGCAGTTTTTATTATTTGAATAAGAAGGTATAGTCTAGGAAACTCTGGGTCTGTGTGAGGAGGAGAAACGATGTGTTTATAGCTGAAGTTTCATTCTTTTTTCGTGCTATCTAGGAAGAAACTTCTTGCAAATCTGACAATTAATGCCTACGCTCTCAACCACCTGTCACTTAATCCGTAATTTATTTGCTTTCCAAAGAGAATGAGCTAAGTTGGTGAGAATGTACAGTAACTCTGGACAGTGTAGGAGGAAAACAAAAACAACATATTAGATCAACACTGTTGTTCCTCTCCCCAGGTTGATTCTGGCGCTAGTTATGCAATACACTCACACCTAGTATTTGGTATACAAATATATTGCAGGTAATAGTACTAAGATCTTAAAAAGGACCTGTTGTGCTTGATATCAATACACCATTACATTACTGAGTTTGAGTTTTTAAGGTACACTCCAAAATCAAGGCGTTCGACAAACCAGTAGATTAAACATATTATTGGTAAAAAATGGGTCTGGGCTTGGGTCCTGTGGCCTGACTAGTTTTCATTTGGGAAAAATCCGAATGTATATATTAGTTTCCTTTCTTACCTCCACTTCTACTGTGATTAATCTGTGTGCTGTTCAAAGGGATATAAATGTACCTAAGATGTAGACAGAGATTCTAATATGCCAAAATATTTAGGATGCCATATATTAAATGTGTCAGGGTTATTTCAGAGCATTTAAGCATGATTTAATATACTTTTATTAAACGGTTATGAGAAATAATTTTAAGCATACATATAAAAAGATGCATGTCATTAGGGCATATGCTGAAATATAACATCGCCTAGCGCAACCAGAAAGATGTGACTTAGAAAGGAAGAAAGCAGATATCTTCCTCTGCCTTTATGAAGTTCTTTCCTCTTGGGATCTTGTTAAAAACTAGTTAGCTACATTTGCTATTCTTGCAAGACTGTTAGTTAAAGTCTACAGAAAATGACAGAATGTCACAGCAACAATTAAGGTTAGTGAGAGCTGTTAACAACACTGCTGATAACTGGAGGCTTCCAACAGCCAACCAGCAAGTGGAAGCATCTGTGTAAAACAGCTGTAAAATAAATCTAAGCATGAACTATTTCATGAGGTGTTTGATCCCATTTAATTTGTGGTACACGTGTTGAGAAACAATAATGTAGGCAGATGGAGAAACACTGTCAAAATCTTACTGTCCTGAGAAGCCATCTTGGCATCTTTCCTGGGAAAGAAATTTTCTTACAATGGATGCTTCATCTGGGTACTGGCAGAAAAAAAAATAGTAGTTGATGCCTGTTCTTTTTTAAGCAAACTCTTGGCAAGGTATTGCTTTATCTGGCCTTGAAGTATTTCACAAAAACAAACGCTATATCATTCATGAATGCTGAGCATATATCAATGATGTTCTGATACAGGGACAAAAAAATGTCGACCGCTCTCAGGAATCCCAGAAAGGGCTGGTAATGCTGGTTTAAAATTCAGATGACAGAAATGTAAGTGTAACACTGTAGACTGAATAAGAGATATAGACAGATCCTGGTGACGTATAGGTGATTACTAATTTATCCACAGATTATGAAGTCGAACAAAGGTATATTGAAATGGTACGATTTGTTGGAAACCTTAGGTCCAGTTTTGCTGCTGAAACAATGTAGGGGCTTTAACACAGAAATTACGAAATGCACACAGAAGACCAATTGCAACCAATGGTGTGCGAATCTCAGGGAGCAGATAAAGCAGACACCTGTTTTGAGAGTCTATGATGGCACCAGGCGAAACTGCCAAATGATACTTCTAAGCAAAGACTTAGAGCAAGACTTTTTCAAAGATAGGGCGGTGACTAAAGACTTGTAGCCTGCATTTCTAAAACTGTGATTAAAAGGGAATGGCAATATTTCCCAAACCAAAACGAGCCTAGCATGTGGATGAAAAACTTCCTGCGTATGAGAAACTGACACTGGCAGACAGATGGCAAACCATAACTGGTAGTAAGAGGTCAGTCGACACTTTCTCTGCATCGCAAAGGTTTTTCTTTCAGTTTTAGCTATATGACCTGCAACCAGAATATAGACCTGGGAAAGACTTTATCAGCAGCTGACATCCTGGCTAAAACTTTTGCTAGAACTGAAATAAAAGACAGATCCTGGCATTTTGCAAATAATTGTGATGAGGAGAATGTTACACATCTTGAAAAGCGTGGGGTCATTGGGCTACATAGTGAGCCCATAATGATACCGAGTGGAGAGGCTTCAGAGCATCAAATGCAAGTCTCCTGTTTTGAGTTGGCCTCTGGCGCAGCCTCTCTCTCTAGACTTAACTAAAGAGAAATTTGTCCTTGAGAGAATGTCCTTCTTTACTCCATACCCTGTGTCTAGCAGTTTTGTAGGAAATAAAAATGGAGTCGTGAAAGGAATGCGCAAGAAGCTGAAAAACCAAACTGAGGTCCTTATTTGGTCTTAGTGATTTATATGACAACACAGCTGAAATTTTAGCTGTCATGTGCCAAAATATTGTTGATAACTCAGAACCATCAATAGAGTCAGAGCTTTCTGACTCTACCAGTAGTCCCTGATTCTAAAAATATGGGCGCTATAAATCTTTACAAACATTGCAAGATTCTCATGTAGAAAATGTTTTATGATAAGGGGTCAAATGAGTTAAAACCTTCATAGCTACATATATACAAGTATATATTGATAGCAAAATGTGAGCTCAAAAGACAATTTTCTTTCCCAAAGATACTGCTCATTTCTATGAGAAGATTATAAACTAGGACATATTTCCTCCAGTTTCTTCTGAAGAAAAAGGAGAAAGAAGAAATTAAATCCAAGTCAAAAAGCTCTAAAACAGAAAAAGCTGTAGTGAACCCAATGGACCCCCCCCCCCCCCCCCCCCCCCCGGGAAATAGCCTGTGAACGCCAGTCCTGATTTCTCACTAGATACTGCAGGAGAATACTATAATTTCTCAGCAACTGAGACGAAAAGTTTTGAATAGTGCACTGTAATGATCACTTAGATGAATGAACGCATTACTTTTGTATATAGACAATCAAATACCTTTGACATGTTTTTCCATTTCTCTGTCCTGGTGGTTATCTTCCATTTAAATGCAGAAGATTTGCCAGAATCCTCTGTAAGTTCAGTGGGATTTATCCTCTTGAGATAGATTCTTACATCTTTAACAATACCAAATTTCTTCCTTAGTTCATTATCTTCTTCCTGATATGCTTCTTTTCTATTTCTTTCTTGCAAGTCTTCTTCAGATGGGAATGCAGTCTGGCTGAAGAACTGAAACAAGAAAGAGTAGAATTTTAGTGTCTGAAGGTGAAGCATTTATCTTCACTCATAAAAATAAACTCCCCTAGTTTTTCTTCAAGGCTTGTTCCCTGCCTCAGGGATATGGCTTTGCAGAAAAATTTGATTCAAAAGTGGCCTTGCCAGCTAGCCCTTTCTCGCTTCTCTTTTAATTTCACTGTTCCTTTAAAATGTGATCCTGATGGCATTCATCACCTGTTTTCAGAAACAGCACCTTCTCCCTTGGGAAAAGCTTGTCATTATGCTAAAGTAAGCCTTATTATTCTTTAAGTAGTAACAGGTTGCTCCCACGTATGCAGTGCTTTCATCCCGCTCAAATATTAAGAACTCTTGATATATCCCAAGATGGAACCTTTCTTAGCATTATCTAATTATATTTTCTTTTTATGCTGCAAGG